AAAATAATATAATTCCAACAAAATGTAAAAAATATTACAATACACACAAACAACCATCCTTATATTCCTCCATTAACCTCGAGCCGTAACCCTCACTCGGTGCTAAATTACCTGGCCGAAGGTAGATTAGCCCGAGCCCTTACAAGCTACCTATTGAGCTCCAATAGGGGCGTACCACATGGCACATAAATACAACAACAATAGCAAGTCTCACAACACCTTCCACAATAATCAAATAAATTCATAATAATATTGCACAATTATACAATATTATGAAGTTCATAATTTTCTCAATAATCACCCAATTAACATGAAATAACACTAATAACAAATTAAAAGCATGGTTACCTCGTGGCTTTTTTAAATAACATTATTTTTCACCAACTACAAATAACATATTATTTATAAATATTAGTTTCAATTATTGAAACTAATAAAATAATTGTAATAAAAATAAAATAACATAATTTCTAATCTCAATCTTAATACAAATCTAGAGTTAATACTATTAAGTAAAATTTTTAACTCCTATTTTACTCATCAATAAACATTAATAATCTAAAAATCAACTTCTAAATTAATTTCTATTATCAAAATTTTCTTTTTATTTCATAAATTCGCACCTAAAATATCCAAAAATTGAAAATTAAGTCTCAAGCTTAGAATCATAATTCTATAGCCATAATAATTCATTTCTTATCCCAAATAATCATCTAAACCTCAATAATTCAACATATATTTTCAAATTTAATAAAAATCTAGTATAAGATTTGATTCTTAAGTTACAAATTCAAAGATCATCAACAAATTTATACTCTAGAATATTTATTATATTACTAACAACCTCAAAAACTATATTTATTCAACATAAATTCATCCCTCTTCCAAATCCTAAATTTTATACCACCACAAACTCAAAAACCAAAGAGGAAGGATGGCTAAGAACAAATTTTAGATCACTTACTTAGTCTTAAAAAGCTTGAAATCACGCCCTAAATATTCTTTTAAAAACTCTTACCTTAAAAACTCAGATCTCTCGCACCGACGAACTTGGGCTCAAAGACGCTCTCTCTATTCGCACACGAAAGAGAAAGGAAATGAGGGAAAAATGAGAAGAGAACGGTGGTTTTAAAAACGAATGTGAGTCCCACAATTTTTTATTATTATTTTCCTCTTTCCTCTCTCTTCTTTCTTCTTTTTGTTTTTATTATTATTATATAAATATAATGATTACACGTGCACGCCGAAAGTTTTCTTGTTCTTCTCTTTTTTTTTTCATTCCTTTTCTCTTTTTTATAATAATAATAATTTAATAATATTTTTTAATTAATTAATTTTTTTTATTTTAATTTATAATTATATCCTAAATTAAATTTAATAATCATCTCCTACTAATTTGTTTACTTCTAAATATTTTTTAAAATTTCTATTAACCCAAATTAACTATTAAAATTTAAATTGGAATGTTACATCAGTGCCTTTAAATTATATAAAAATGATTACAGATTACATTTAAATCAATATATGAAGAAATTCACAAGCATGCCTCAGGAATAATTTACATATAATAACTAGCGGATGACATGTAAATCAAATACATAAAGAGTACACCATTGTTAGTACCCCTAAATTACATAAAAATGACTAAGCTAAAAACTTGCACCCTAAACCAAATCCCTTACATCCAAGCCATAAGCTTTACATCTAAGTCATGCCCTTTACACCCAAATCATAATACGTACACCTTAAGTTAGAAACTTTGCACCTAAACTAGGACTCTTGCAACCTAAGCCAAAATTTTTACACCTTAAATAAAAAAAATACCATGGGGAGTAAGAATAACATCATACTCATGTTAAACTACATCCATCCTATACAAAAAATAAATAAAGAATACTCACAATAAGTTATCTCTTGTTTAAGTATTATACATTGTGTAGCAAACCATATTAACTTATAAATGATGCGGATGTAACAATGTAATAGTAAGGACAACTGGATTGTCCTTGAAAAACAAGTCAATGTGAAGAGGAAGAATGAATAACAAAAATTTCAATGAAATAATAATAATTCCTTTAGATTTGCTATATTTTTTCGTTAAGTACAATCAAAATGATAAACAAAAATTATAGGGCACCTCATATTAAAAAAAATATATCATGAGGGATAATCTTACCTTGTACCAAAAAAAAAAGGAGATGGCCATAAGTATACTTCAAAATACAATCATATTTTCATTCAATTTTCTAGAGAAATCCTTAATCAGCATTTCTTTGTAGTTGGCTTAAATTATAATATGTGTGTAGAAGCTTCTTAACTTAAACTTTTTTTCTCATCTTTAGCCAAAATCTTATGTTTTAGTACATTTAAAATATTATACTTGCAATGAAAATTAATAGCTATTACAAGTAGGTCATTCAAGCGTTAATACACAACACCCATAAAATTACAACTTGCAATTCAAAAGAATATTAAATAAGTCATTACAATTTATAATTATCTTGTTAGAAATTTAGATTTCTTGTGACAACTGGCATGGGATGATTAAGTGCTATAATAGGTTTGCCTTTTATAATACAAATGACAAAGAAGACATATTAAAGACAAAATCACAATATAAATCACACAAACATTAATCTAATACCAAAACCTAATATGCCAATCATAAGGTAGTGATTGAACTTACAAACATGAATAACAAACTCAAAATATTATTGATACTTGAAACATAAATTTTTTGAGGTTCATTATGAAATTATGAATACTTACATGATTTCATGATTTTATTAAGTATTTCATTTACATTATATATATTGTCAAATAAAGTGATTCCAAATAAAATGATTGCATTTTGTATGCACATGACAAAATGAAAAGCTCACATATATTTTAAAACAATGCATTTGAAGTACAGCACTGGTTTATTTGAATAAATAACATCAACAAAAATGTACGTACTACAATTTTATAGTTCCTATACAATTTTTCCATTCTAGCAGCAATACTAGAAGGTACAAATCCTACTTCTGCTTCTTTCTTGATTCTCAACAGAAGTTGTACAAAAAAATGAGAAACATTTAGCAATAAAATAACTTTTTAGAATTTGATGTAAAAACTATGCTAGAAAATAAGAGTATAGTAAGAACTAAAATTTTACATGAATTATGCCTTAAAGTACTAAATTTTGTTGGTGGCTATATTTAATAACCAGACCATTCTTCCACTATTTACACAACATATAAGAAGATTTCCTGGTTTTTGAACTATTACCTTATACATTATATTGTAAATTAAATAATATTTTCTAAACACAATTTGGTAAATTGTGTCAGCCAAAGCAATCTCTATTATGTGATTTGCTTTTAATCTTGCTTCAGACAATAAAAGCATGTGGCAATTATATCAAAAATAAATGATTTATAATTATATTTAAAATAGATGGTTTACAATTATATCATGATTGTTGAACCAATTAAAAAGCATAATCAAAACTATAGGAAGACTAATTAGCATTAAATAATAATGCTATAAAAAAAGTTGCCAATAATTGCACAATAATATTCATGAAATTGTGAAACTATTAAGCAAGATGGTTATATTAAGATCCTAGAAATAGATGACTAAACAACAAAATGAATTGAAATAAGATGGAGAACCAAAAACACTTGCGAAATGTCCTTCACATAACCAAGAAAAGGACAATTGTTGTAAAGCCTCAATAAATAGCACATATTCAATGTCACTTGTAAAAGCATACAAGCAAAATATATACTCTCATGTGATGAATTGACCAAGATAATATGGATAAAGAAAAAGGATCTCTACTTCACAAAAATTCTTACGCATGGTGCCTCCAAGCTTGATCATACAAACATCTACTTCTCCCTCATTTCCATACACAAGCATTATAGCAACTAATTAAATCTAATCTTTTATGGCATCTATAATGTGTGGTATCACCTATATCAATGTCCTAAAAACTCAGTAAACTATTCCGCATCCATACAGTATGAGTATGCAAGCAAAACATAATAGCAATTTAAAGATGTTCTCAATTTTGTTGAAGATGGTTTATTTTAAGATTAAATATTTATTTAGTAGGACATTTACAACTAATTATACGGCAACAATATAATCACAAACATGTTGAATTCTATCTCGTGAAACATAATTGTGCATTCATAATTTATAAGTTTGAGTGTCGCTTCCTTATGCCCAAACCTTTTTCTATTATAGTTCTTACTCCAACTTAAATTCTTCCATAAAACCTTGATATTGAAATCGGAGTCCACAAAAGCAGGAGAAGATGAAAATCAACAAAGCAACTGACAGAGAGAGGCTTATAGCTGCAGAAAGAACTCATCCTACATAAGCTCAATGGCGGATGAAGGCTATTGATGAGGAAGAGATGCTGAATTGACAAAGAAACATGATCAATGGTAGTCGAAGGAAAAATGGAGCAAGATTGGAGGAAAACACAACAAGAATGAATTGTGGCCAAGCTCAGTGAAAATGAAGAAAACATAAGCCATAGAGGTGAAAAATGGTAGGTCGACGACACAAATGATGAAGTGAGCAATGACAAATAGTGGCAGATGAAAGTGAGAGCTTGAAACGTAGATGAAGAGCAATGTTGAATAAGTGAGGAGCATTTTAGTTCATTCATCCCATCTTTTTTTGAATATTATAATAAGTTTGGTCCTTTATTTTCATTTGGTTTTTAGACACAGTTTTCTGTTCAAGTAGGTCTTTTTTATCAATTCTCTTTTTAAAATTTTGAAAATCTTAAAAAATTTCTCTCCCCACGAAAACAGATTTTGAAAGTCACATTGATTGTACGGTCAGACAATTATTTGTGAGGATAAAGAAATGAAGAGAAAAAAAAAGAGAGACCCGTGCCCATCTAGACAGGAACGGCCATCCACTATGTTGGGATTTTCACATTACAATAATATACAAAAATTCTTTTTAAAATAAAATTAGAGTCTTGAAGAACTTCACAACTCACATCGCAAGTTCGCAACCTTGCTGGCCGCATGACATTTTTTCGTTGTGGGTAAACCGCACGGAAACGGATTCGTTCCTGTTTTTATCCTTCAGATGCATTTCCGTTATGCTGGTTCGGCTCTGGATGCTTAAAACGCAACTTGCAACAAAAATGATGGGAAAGAAAGGCTGAAATCCGTGGCATTTTCTTTCAACCAAAACAATGCCTTGCTCACTTGGCCTCTTATCTTCCCCAGTGTTCCCTCCTCAGAAAACTAGCTCGCTCATTCTAAAATCTTATCCACTTCATCGTCTCTCTGTCAATTCATCCATTGATAAAAACTCCACCACCAATTCTAGCAGCAGCAACAATAAATCCAGTTCCTGGGTCAGCCCAGATTGGCTGACTTCATTGACTAGGTCCCTTACCTCGGGAAAAGACGATTCTGGCATTCCTGCTGCAAGTGCCAAACTCGACGATGTTTCTGACCTTCTCGGCGGCGCTCTTTTTCTCCCACTCTTTAAATGGATGAATGAGTACGGCCCCATTTACCGACTCGCCGCAGGTCCTAGAAATTTTGTGGTGGTTAGTGACCCTGCTATAGCGAAGCATGTTCTAAGGAATTATGCTACATATGCAAAGGGCCTTGTTTCCGAGGTTTCGGAGTTCCTGTTTGGGTCCGGTTTTGCAATTGCTGAGGGCGCACTCTGGACGGTAATTTTGCGAGTTCTGATACAGTTTATTATATTCGAAATGGGGAATCTTTTTAGATTTGCAGTTGTATCTAGGATTTTTGAAGTCCTCAATCATATTACTTTCCGATGCTTTAACTTATATATATATATATATATATAAGAGGTCGTTTTGAGACTGAGAAGTTCATTGCGTTTGTTGTTTAACAAATTAACAATGTCGCTTGTTTTGCTAGTGGTTTGTTTTATTTTAGGTATAGTATAATAATTGTCTCATCTCAAACCTAGTTTTATATGGACAAAGACATTCCATAGTTTATTTGTTGTTAAATTGGTCGAGCTTGTGCTTCTAGACTTCTTGTCATGATTTTATAGGCTACTTATGCAATCAGTTTATATTACAAGCTATTTCTTATATGTATTAGGTAAGGCGCAGGGCCGTGGTTCCATCTCTTCATAAACGCTACTTGTCTGTTATGGTTGATCGGGTATTTTGTACATGTGCTGAGAGACTAGTGGAGAAGCTACAATATGATGCACTGAATGGAATTCCAGTTAACATGGAGGAGAAGTTTTCACAGTTGACTCTAGATGTTATTGGTTTGTCTGTATTCAACTACAACTTTGATTCACTTAATGCAGATAGTCCTGTTATTGAGGCTGTTTACACTGCATTGAAGGAGGCAGAAGCTCGTTCAACTGATATTTTGCCATATTGGAAGGCAAGTATTATTATCATTAAATCTTGATTTGCATTCTCTTTCTATGCTGATCATGCTGTATTTGTTTTTGATTTCCCTCCAGGTTAACGTTCTTTGCAAAATAATCCCTAGACAAATAAAAGCTGAAAAAGCTGTAAACATAATCAGGAAAACTGTTGAAGAACTTATTGTAAAATGTAAAGAGATTGTGGAGGCTGAGGGTGAAAGAATTGATGGTAGTGATGAATATGTGAATGACTCTGATCCTAGTATCCTTCGGTTCCTGCTTGCGAGCAGAGAAGAGGTTTGTTGCATTTTGTTGCTCACAAATGCCATGAGTTTCTTGTTATCAGTGTGTTTTTATGTAGGTTGTTGGATTTTCATGCTATAAAATACTAGAGGTTTTGTTTATTGTATCATTACTTTAGAACACATGAAGTTAACGTATTGTTTCTATTTTACTTGATGGTTTTTCATGTCTTAGGTTTCCAGTCTGCAGCTACGGGATGATCTTTTGTCACTATTAGTTGCTGGCCATGAAACCACTGGTTCAGTTTTAACCTGGACACTTTATCTTCTTAGTAAGGTATCATTTAACATTTATTCACTCTATTTAGCCCCAGAAAGCTATGATTTTGAATTTGATTAATTTTGTGAATTGTCTATAAACTCGCTTTAATTTCACCAGGTCAACGAGTTGCTTCTGCTTATTTTAAGAGGGTTCTGTAGAAGTTGAGTTTGTAACTATATCACCTGATCCTGGTTTTCTGTTTGAATTTTGCACTTGAACTATTTTGTCAGTTACAACTTTACTTCCCCCCCCCCCAGATTCTTCATAGGCACGGAATCAATAAGGAAATTGTAAAAATCAACTGGGTTAAAACATATGAGCATCAAAAGCTGGTTAAACGTTCTTATAGACTTTTAGTAAAATCTAGCTTCCAGCATTTTTCAAGGATTTATGAGCATGCGTCCATTCTTATTTGGAATGTAGCATATGTCTCTATTTATGTATTGTATAGCCACTGCTAAACAAAATAAAAAACCCAGTTCCCATAAAAAAATAGTAGGTTCCCGCCATTTTTTTTTTTTGAAAAAAAAATCCAGTGTTTTTTTTTTTTTGAAATTATTTGCTTTATTTATGCAGAATTCTTCCTCATTGGGCAAAGCACAGGAAGAGGTGGACAGAGTTTTACAAGGAAGACGTCCTACCTATGAAGATATCAAAGATCTTAAGTTCTTGACACGCTGCATTATTGAGTCACTTCGGCTTTATCCACATCCTCCTGTAGGCTGCCAAACTTATCTTTGCAGTAATTGAGTTATAGGTCTGTTCAAAATGGTCTAATCATGCTGTACGGCATCCCTAAACTTGAGCTTATTATAAAACAAGTTGGCATGATGATGTTGGAAATTTGAGTTAAATTTAGTCAAATTACAAGTCAGGGAACTTGTCAGAGGAAAATTAGCTATGTTAGAAACTCTGGTAGTCTGTTGTTTTGGGGATTTGTTGCTTAGGTACGGAGACCTTGGGCAAAGACATGTAGGTTATGGATAGAATTTAGCTAGAAGGGAAGTCATAGCAGTTAGCATCCCCCTCCAGTGTTTGAAGTTTGAACGGTGATAACATAGATGAAAGAGATAAGATGTTTTAGAATACTAAGATGGAAGAGATAAAATAGACATCCAAAATAAGTCTAACCCAAACCACCAGATGTTGAATATTATTGTAGTGTGCCTGTGCTGATTAAATTAAAAGCTATTTGTTTGCATTTTCTTTATGGAGCTGGTTTCATCAATTATCTTTTGCTAATATTTAAGATTCTGATGGTTATGTTCGTTCATACATTCTTTCTTAAGGTCTTGTTAAGAAGAGCTCAAGTTCCTGACATGCTTCCTGGAGATTACAAGGTTGATGCTGGTCAAGATATTATGATTTCTGTATATAACATACATCATTCTTCAGAGGTATTGCCTAATATTTTACCAAGCATATTTTTCCCTTGGTAAAATATTCTCATTCATGGCTGTGGTGTTTCTTCTCTGAGGAATCAGATGAGATGTTGTGGTTCTTATTCTGCTTAAGAATTTAAGTTACTTACCTATTATGTGGTTAACCTCCCAAATACCTCCTAACTGTTTTGATTTCGTTCACCTTTATTCTTCATTATACATCCCTTAAAGTAACTGGGTTTTACCATGAATTAGTGCAAGTTTTTCATGTTACGCAATCAGTAATTATTCCAATTATGCATTTGCTGTGGTGATTGCCAAATAATGTTAAAAGTATCTCTTTCTTCCTTGTCATTTTGCTAAATTCCTTTAGCCGGTCTGATATGGAAGCTGTATCAAGTTATGATTTTTTTTTTTTTAGGAATTTGTTGTAATTTTAATATTTGATTGATATTACAACCTTCAATATGGTTTTGCAAGGTTTGGGAGAGAGCTGAAGAGTTTTTGCCAGAAAGATTTGATTTGGATAGGCCAGTCCCAAACGAAACAAATACAGATTTCAGGTGCCATTATCCTCATACACTTCACTTAAGGGAGCACCACAAGATTTACAGGACACTGAGTCTTTATTTTGTATCAAGTGCCATGCGCTTCTACTCCTGCTATGTTTCACCAGTGCACCTAGCTGTTCCTAGGTTTTTCTTTTGTGGGGAGGGGGCTCAATCTGACCATATTTCGTAGTTTGCTCTGATTCTAACTAGTCAAACATGTAGCAGATTTATTCCATTCAGTGGAGGACCCCGCAAGTGTGTTGGTGATCAGTTTGCTTTATTGGAAGCAACAGTTGCTCTCGCAATCTTTCTTCAGCACATGAATTTTGAACTGGTTCCTGATCAGAATATTAGTATGACGACTGGAGCAACTATACATACGACAAACGTAATGTTTCTTCTTGTGTCTTTGAGATATGTGTGCCCTTCTGACTAGTTTAGCCTCGCAGTAATTTGCTTGCACAAATTTCCCAACTTGTTTTCATGATGTTTCTCACAAAACCAGTGTAAAAGCTGCTTATTATCAAATAATTTTTTGTGGTCTAATAAAAATAATTAGAAGTCCTTGGACCGAGGGGAATGAGAGGAAAGAAGAAAAATGGGGTGTGCATGGTTGTTAACTCTGTCTTGTTTGAGTCTTTGGGAGCTCTTGTTGTAAAGGGAAAGGAAGAGAGAACAAGTAAGCTCCTAAATCTTGTCAAATTTCTGGTCCCTCCTTCCCCTCCTGCACTTACATCCTAACTTCAATTTTTGGAGGCTTAACAGAGTTCTGTTGTTTCAGGGCTTGTACATGAAACTCAGCCCACGGCAGAGATAGTTGGCTTCGTGTTCGTCTTCCTTTGACAAGTTCAGCTGTAAAATTGCCCATAGCTTGCGACACATCATTTACTCATTGTAATTTTTCTTCGTGTATGGTTTGATGTTATGATGGATATATTTTGATCGGTATGTAATGTTATCTGATGGAAAATGTTCTCCTACTTAATACAAGGTAATTCGTTTTTGATGGCCCAACCGACGATGCAGCTTTTTCTGAATTTCGGAATTTCCTAAAGAAGATTAGTTCATGTTCAAAGTGAAGAAGTGTATTGGCAGATGAGTCAGACATAATTCTGGTTTTCATCATTTAGCTACGATGACTCTGCACCTTTTCTAATTGAAGTTTGCACATGATGCTAGTATTTCTTTGTTTTTAGTTCATCTCCGGGAGAGTGACATTTAAAGATCCTCTGATAAGATTATTTATAGTTAAGAATCTTGAAAATTTGAAATTTCAAAAAAGATCATAGTATTTAACTGGAATTAAAATTTTCCTGAGTTAATGTTTTTAGTATTCATTTTCTATATTTTTATTACTCATCTTTAATATTTTCAATATTCAATTTTTTGATTTTTCAGTAATTATCTTAAATGTTTTCAATATTCATCTTTAATATTTTTCAGCGCTGAAAAATATATCTTTAACTTTTTTTTCATATTAAAACCATGCAAGATGAGTATTAAAAATATTTAAGTAACTACTGAAAAAACTTAAAAAAATGAGTATTGAAAATGAAAATGCTAAAAATGATTATTGAAAACATAAAAGATGAATATTGAAAATATGTAAGATGAGTATTAAAAAATATAAGGAAAAAACTTTAGTTCCAACTCAGGATTATAGTCTTTTTATGAAATTTTATAATTTTGTGATTCTTAATTGTAGTTATCATTGTTATAATATCTTTTAAATTTGATTTCCCTATAATCTTCGATATGTGTTATGAAATTAGTTAACTAGATTTTAGACCTCTACGAGCATTAATCTACATTGTTTGAGAGAAATAGAGGAGAGAAAAGTAAAAGTTAAATTTTATTATTTTTTTAAAGGACAAGTAAAAATAACTATATTTTTTAATTTATTTAACAGCTGCTATTAACTATGTATATTTTTTTATTTCCAGTACAATAAATAACATCCCAAAATTTTCAGTATTTAAATAATATTGAGATAAGCTTTTATGGCTATTAGAATTTATCATGTAATTAGATGAGTAAAGAAAATTTACTAAACATATAAAAGATGGCTGAAGATATATTTTTTTGAAAAAGAAGAAAATTAAGAAGGTCAGATGCCATTAAATAGAAATATTTAAAACAGTATTTTAATTTGTCATATTATAATTAGTTAATTATTAGAAATTGTTATTAAAACAAAATATATAAATTCAGCCTAAATTTTCAAATTTTCTGAATCTTGGAAAATTATATTATGTATAGAATTAAAAAACTTTTTATAGAAAAAAAAGAGAAGGAAAGGATAAGGGGAAAAAAAAAACAACTAGGGGAAAAAGAAGAAGAAGAAGACCGAACTTAAAAGCGAGGGCTCAGCCCACTTCAATGGCAATTAAATTGCCGAACCTAAAGTCTAGATGCACACTCCACAAAACTTTTCCACGGTGCCGAAATGAGTGAGAGAGCGAGACTGTGAAGGAGCGAGCAAGATCGGGAGTGATAGAAAATAAAGGTTCATTTGAGTGTTATTGTTTTTGGGTCAAAATTTGAGTGTTATTGAGTTGCAAAAATTCGATTAATCTATTTTGAAATTTCTAAAAATTAGGTAAGTGATCTAACATTTTTCTTATTTTTCTTTTTAATATTTTCGGGTTCTGATAGAGAAAAGAAATTTAGAGTTAGATGAAATTTTATATTTTTTTAGGTGCTCCCAATTGACTATTATATTGTTAAAAGGGCTAAATATGTTAGGTTGAGAGCTTATCAAGATTAGTTTTGATTAAATAATTGATTTTAAGGATTTTAGAGTAGTTTTTAATGTTATGAGAGATTTAAGATAAAAAAAATAATTTATTTATGATCTAATAGGCTAAAAAATTTCTCTGGAGATTAAATCTATTTATAGATAAGTTGAATATAAAGATTTGAGTTGAATATATGGAATTGAGAATTTGAAGAATAATACATAGAAGTAGAGTTGAGACTTTAATTTTTGGAAAAATTGAGTACAATAAGTTAATTATTAAATTTATACAGTTGGAAGGGACGAAAATTTATTAAAATTAATTTTGGTTAAGAGATAGAGTATGTTAGAGTTTAAATAGGGGACGTTGGAAAATATAAGAGTTAATTTCATAGATAAAATAAATCATTAAGATGAATTAATAAATTATATTTATTATTATGAATTTTTGTAGAGTAACATTTGAGTTGGTAAGTGCGCTCCATCACGTATAGCTACAGCGTAGAAAAGAAATAACAATAGCTTATTCTTTTGTATACTTGGAAGTTGTTGATTTTATTATTGTATATCCACGTATGGACTGTATCGAAAATGTTTGCTTTGAACTAAAATATATATTTAAACCTTCTTGTGTATTTTCCTAAAAACTATATATATTATTTTAATTCTTTTCAAACATGCCAGTGTTTTGGACTGAAAATTAATGAGAAATTGTTACATGCGATTGCTCAGATTCATTTAAGCATGCTTATAAATATTTAAAATGGTAGAAGAAATATATTTTGTTCCTTTTTAAGTATGCTTATTTATTTTAAAATTTTGTAATCTTGATGCATTTGTAGAGAATATAAGAGTGGATATTGTGCTTTATGGTAAATGTGATGGGAGATTATTATTTTATTAATGTCACGTGGCACATCTTTACTCAGTGAACAATGCATGGTTATTTATCAGGACCTTTTTTATTGGTTTAAAATTGTGGGACATAGAATGTTTTTTTTTAAGGAAGGGAGTCTAACTTTATAAGCCATGCACTTTTGGCCGTGTGCATCCTTAATTTAGGCTTCAACTAGTGGTATATGGATAAGATATGTTATAATAATAGATTAAGGCTTGTATCACTTGTTTAATTATTTTAAATGAGTAAGCTTTTTTCTTTATTTTAAAAACTACATTTTCATGATTGTGAAATTAGTTTGCAAAATAAAATTGTGAAAACGTACGCGCACGCGCGTATGGATTGTGAAATAAGTTTGTGGTAGTTTACTAGTATAAGTTAGAATATTTATTTGTTATTAAATGTTAAATCACATATATTATCCCTTACAATTTTTAGGTGAAGATTTCGGTAGGTTAAAAGCAATGCGTCAAAAAGTTGAGTGGGTAGGCTTTTATGTGCCTTTTGGACTCAACACATGTTCTTGTTTATTATTTGCCATGGTCTAGTGGGCTTTCGCTTACAAACTTTTATTTTATTTTTTCTTTTAAAAACATAGTCTCATGATGGCTTGAATTCCATTTTGGAAAGGGTTTAATAAAACTATTTGTGAAGTTGGATTGAGCCCTATTTGACATCAAAAGGTGATTCGGTAATTATATTGTAGTTTTAGGCTTTGTAGTGGTTAATGGTTTGGGCTTCATGTATTCTCAAGCCATTGCTTGAATGATTTTTGGGACTCCATCAGTTTATAAATGATTAATTTTAATTATTTAAGTTATAATTGTTTTCATAAAAATGGGGTTGTTGCACAATATAAGAAGCGTTTTGAGTTATTAGAATATACAAATATAAATAATATTTATTTATTTTTACACAATTTATTTTAGAACATACAAAAAAAATATGACCAACATTTTATTTTATATAAACTATTTTAGAATCAATTAAAGTAGGCATGTTTGATAAGAACTTTTGAGCAATTAGTTGGGAATGATTCTCAATATTTATGCATGTAGTAGCTTAATTAAAATATTTACCATTTACTGTCACTGACTCTTTAAATCAAAATAAGAATTAACAACTAATTCTTTTAAAAACATGTGTTAATATACTATCATAGAATTAAAAAGGAATAGATTCAAAAAATACAATTTAAATTTTAAAAAGCTATAACATAAAATACGATTTTAATTCTAATTTATATTATAAAATTATAATTTTTCAGAGGAGAATAATATACATTTGACCTTTGAATTTTCAGCTTTAACTTTTACCTTAATATTTTTATTTTGGGTTTCTCACTTCTTACACCAAACAAAATCTCTACTTAGACATCAATTATTTTTATTTATCTCTCTTTATCTTTATAAGTAGTAATAGATTAAAATATAAATACATTATTCATTTCTTTTAATTTATATTTAAAAAATTAAATTTTTTAAAACAAATTTAATTTGAAAATTAAAAAATAATTGCATGAAATGGTACTATAGAACTATAGTATCAATCAGAGGAACTACATTACCAATGACCCAGCTTATAAGGAAAGGGAGATGAAAAATGAATTATTGTTCTGCGTGTAACTTGCTATGTATTGGACGGATGCTTTGTTAATTGTTACTCTCTCTCTCACATCTCATCAGTCATCCCTGTAGAAAAATTAACTGAAAACAAAGAAGTTTACGAGCCTTTTTGTTTTTATTTTTTAAAATTATTTTTTATTTTTAAAAAAATTTGCTTGATTAAGTGTTTTCTATTTACTTGTTGTAAAACTGTTTTTACTTTTTTTAAAATAGAAATATCTTCAAGTTATTTTCGTTTTATTTTTTTTAAATATATTACATTTGATTATTAAAAATCACAATTATGCTGACTAATTTTTATCATAAATCATCATTATTGACCACATATAATTATCACTATCAATCTATTGTTTAATCCTAAAACTATTTTTAAATTAATATAATCAAATGGATTTTTATTTTATTTTGTTTTGAAAAATAATTTTAAAAATTGTATTACAAAAAAATTTTAAAAATGAGAACAGAAACCAAACAGGCCCTATGTCTCTATTTTTTTTTCATTTTTAAAAACTATTTTTTATTTTTAAAAATAAAAAAGTATTTAGATAAGTTTTTTTTATTTAATTATCTTCAAAACTGTTTTATTTTTTATGTTTCTTTTTTTAAATACATTATATGTGATTATTAAAAATTATAGTTACTTTAATTAATTTTTATTATTAATAATCACTGTTAACTACTGATAACCATTACTATTTATCCATTTTAAATTTTTAAATTATTTTTTAATTAACAAAACCAAATGCAGGGGCAGACTTGGGTGATGCTCGGAGGGGGCCATTTTTTTTTTTGTTTACTGTATGTAATAGGGTAGTAAAATTATAGTTTTGATTTTTACCTTAATATTTTCATTTTGAATTTCTCACTTCTTACACATGCTGGTTGCTCATGTTGTCTTTCCACTCAATAAACCAAATCTCTTACTTCAATATCAA